AACGAACAGCAGGCAATAAAAATAACACAATTAAGAAAACTACAGATAAGGGGAGAAAGACTTTAGTCCTTATACAACATACAAAAACCCCAGTACCACAGCCTTGATTGTACAGTCCTTGTAAATACCTGGGAAGAAAAACAGTCTCTCTTTAATCATTACAGAACTTATTCATACAAAGACCTGAAGAGATGCAAAAAGGCAGAACAAGACACACAGAGTAAACACACTGCAGGGCAAAATGACTATTACTCACCTGGAATGCGGGAGACTGAAGTTCAAGTTCTGCCAAAGTTACAACAAGCACCTATAATCATCTTGTTCAGGTCACACGCACACATGTTCTATATCTCATGGCTGTACCTAAAGGGAAACTTACCATGCACAACTACAACTCACAAACTCACATTTAAAAATCTACCTCTATATATACTCTAGAAAGTTTTGGCTACCTTCAGACTAAGGGTTCAAACTCACAGCACCAATTTAAGCAAACATTGGTGTTGGCATGCTCATGGCATCCCATCTTCCCGAGGTACTAACTTCACTGGGGCAGGGGGGAAGGAAACACTAGTTAGACCACTACTGCCTTCAAGTCAGAGAAACGTAAATAAACTGCAGCTACATTGCTTTTTTATTTTATCACAATGGAAGTTCAGCATAGATCATAAAAGTGCTGGTGGGAAGGGGCCTCTGGAGGTCTCCATAGCACCGCCCTCTCAGAGGGTGGTTAGAGCTCTGTCTAGCTGAGTCCTGACACCCCAGTAACCATGATCCACCCCTGGGTGCATGTCCCAGGGCTGCACCACCTTTCTGAGGTTCCTCCCAACACCCAACCTTTACCCCCCAAGCTGCAGTTTGTGCCCTTTACCCCTTGTTATGCTGTCTGCCACAACTAAGAGGAGTTTGGCTCTGGGGTCTTTGGAATGGCCCTTCTGGTAGATGTAAGGTGCTGTCAGCTTGTTCCTCAGACTGCACCAAATTTCACAAACCCAGCGACCTCAGCCTCTTACTTCTGTCTACCTATCCTCAATAAAGGCATTGATGTGAAAAACATTCAGGGTAACATCATACCCCGAAATGAACATCGCTGCTTGTATTTCTATCTGCTGAAGATAAAGCAGGTTATGCGCTTTTTGAGAAAATACATGCACATAAACTGTTATTCTAGAACATATAACATAGTTTAAATTGCAAATAAACTACACATTTCCTTCCACCTTTACGAGTTTGTTAAAAAAAAAAAATTAGTATACCTGAGAAGTAAATATTTTGGCAATTGCTCCACTACAGCGACAAGACACTCTGAAACTGAAGCTATGCTTCTCATTTTCAATGGCTTTCTCTTCACTGCTTTTGGAAGGGTCTTCTAGAGAAGTCTTACTTTCAGCCTGAAAATCCTGATCGCTCTTTCTCCCTGTTACCGCACAGCTCTCTCCAGCTCCTGCTTGACATTCCTCAAAATGAGTCTCCGTCTTCTGTCTTTTAGTTGCAATATTCATCTCTTCTTCTGATTTTCTCTTGAGAGGCAAGGGATTTTCCTGAGAGACATGTTCTTTTTTCTCCTTGTGTCCATGAAGATTTTTCCAAACGGAGATAATATCATGCCAGTATCTTGGTTCCTCAATGACAAGGCTTTTAATTTCATGCAACACTTTCCCTGCAAGAAAAAGGGTTTCCAGGTTAAGTATTCAATCTCAGGTTAGGTTGTTCAATCTCAGCATTTGATTTTTCTACATGTTGACAACAGACGTTAACAGAGACTGTGTTTAGACTTCGTTAACGTCTGAATCCAGGAATTCCGGCAGCCCACACTGCAAATACAGCTGAGCTCCTAATGCTCACGTACCCCATCAACCAAGACCTACACAGCAGTCTGATTACAGGCTCTGCAGAACCAAGATTAAGTTCCGCAACTTTGATTCGCAAAAGTCTGGCAGTACTAGAAGACCAGACCACTTCTAGAGTCGTTCCCAGAGACTGAGGGACTAACCTACTGCGTCATCCTCCCCCAAAAGCACTCAATCCAGGATCGGAGATCTGGGATGCGTTCCAGGATCAAACAACAGACGTGAGCAAGCATCACTTGGATTCACCTCAGAATAAGAGCCATAAGTTTACTCTTTTATACAGGAAACACATCCACGCTACTGATCATCCTGCCCTCAAGCCTGCAGAGTCCCTCACCCATGCCCAACTTCACACCTACGGGCAGTCCTGTTGACTTAGCCACGATAAAAGAGATGGCAACACAAGGAATACCGAGGCCAATTCACATAAAAAAAGCCTTGAAGCTGGGCAAGGAGAAAAGTTTAGATGTCCCTATTTCTCATTTTAAGTTTTAGAGCCACGGATAAACCGGATCGTCAAAAGTACAGGCCAACGGTCACCCCCTAAATAAAACCCACTGATATCCAGCCATCTTCGAGACTCTAATTCCGACACTGAGACAGGATGTGACCTGAATCGCTCAGATTTACAAGAAACGCGTGTCCTGAGCAGCTCGGTGACACAGGACACGCGCGTGGGCCTGCTCGGTGACGAGAACAGGTAACGTGCCCCAGGGGCCCGCAACCGCACTCTAGTCTCAGGGGTTTTTTCCAGCGGAGGGGTGGTGGGGATACACACATGTATACGAATAGCACCAGCAGGACAGGCGCTAATACAATTAGCTATTTAAAACAATTTCCTTCAAGCCGTACCTTTATTTCTGGAGACGGGGAGCGGGGCATGTTTCTTAAGCAGCAAAAATAATCGCTCTCCAGACTTCAGCTTCTTCAGGTCGCTCAGCTCCGCCTCAGCGGTGAAGAACACCTTTCCCGAAACGCAGTCCACCTTCGGGGGAGGAAAAAAAAAAGTTAACAAATGAGTAAGTAAAGGGGGAAAGCGGTTTGCCACGAGCGGCTCAGCAGCGCCATCGCACGCTGCTGCCTGTCGGCGCACTCCGGCGGGGCTGAGGCGAGCCCGCCGCCCCTCACCTCAGTAGCGCCGAGCCGCGCCCC